AGAGTATTAGATAATAATTCCTCAGTTTCTTTATCTAAATCAGGATGAATTAAAGCAACATAATCATTACACGCAATAACATTTCCGAGTGCTGATAAACGTTCTTCACAACGACGCAAACGTACAGGGTCTGGTAATGAATTTCGAATATGTTGTAATTCTTGATCAGTTGTTGAACTTGGAACGAGTAGGCCATGACGATTACCAATAGTTAATCGGCCAACAACACGAGTATCGGCTAAAACACAAAATAAAATATAGATTACGCGTGTAAAAGCAAAAAAGAATGTTACCGATTGATGTATGAATAACTGGTATGTGATCGCTTAATTCACTTTCGAATGTTGAATAAAAATTTTCTGATCCACCAATACCCACAAGACAATATGAATTAGTTAAGCGAGAAAATACTCCAATATCATTGCTACTTTGGAATTGGGTACGAACAGCCATTAAGTTTGTTGTTGAGAAAATAAATTGAGACAAATTCGAAAACGTCTAAAGCAAAAATATTTCTATCAAGATTAAGAGAGAATATAATTAGAAGTCTCTTTTGGAAGAAAAAGAATATCTCACTCTATAGCTATTGTTACCAATATAGGATACTGACAAATCTTTGAGAGACTCGTCGCTTTCGAGTAGTCCGATATCTTCTTTGCAACAATCACCTCTTGACTAATTATCATCAATCACAGCTCCGACTAGAAGGGTAGTCTGACAAGAGCACTCTTCAGATGTCCCCTCGTTTTTTTAATGAAATGTAGTAGGTTATAGGTAATCGACCATGCTGATTTCGAATATGATATCCACAGAGGTGCAGAACCGTTTGCGCTAACGGCCGTCGGGGAAAAAAAATTTTTTTCGGGGAAATTTTTTAAAATTTTGGAAAAACGAAGAATTATGTTAGCCTTTAACGACTATCTCCTTTTTTATGTTCTTTCAAAAACTAACTATTCTCAATTGTATTAAAACGTTTACGTCAAGAAGATACCAGAACCAGACATGTGTGATTAAACAGAAGCAGCAGTTTTAGCAACAATAAAATCGCATTGTTTTGTTTTCTCTTTTGTTTCATGCCGAGGAAAGTTTATTATAATCTTTTACTGTCGGGGGAAATTTCCTAATCTCACGGATAGATTCTGCACCTCAGGATATCCATTTGGGCCCACAGGCCTTTCCTGGTCAGTTTCTGAAAAGCAGAAAACTGGTTTTCCAGAAACCTCAAAAACTTTTCTAAATAAGTCACGATTGTGGCCCGCAAAAATTTTGATCAAAATAAGACATCTCCCAGCTCTACATGACCTTTTTTTGCAAAGTTATAGACTTTACAAGAAAAGCCCTAAATGTCCATTGGCACCTCAAGGCTACAGAATAGAAAAGGAAGAAGGAATTAAATAAACGATGGGACATTTGGAGAGGTTCCCTTGTCAGTCGAAATTCTTTCGTACAACCACCTGTGCGCATGGTATGTATATATTTACTGATTATGTACCAATTCTCTGATAAACCACAAGAGCTATACATGGTACAAATGTACCATCACGACGTAGAAGTATGTAATCGAACGGGCACTCCGAAACACGTGGACATGAATAACGTGCATAAGGCACAAGGCGATTAACGACCTGACGATGCGGAGGTACGAACAAAGCATCTTTGACAGCATGCTATCTGTTTTTGTTATCGTTGAGGTAACGCGTGTAAAAAAAGATGCCGAAATCTTGCATTCAACAATAATTTCTTAGCCAGCGTAGATATGAGAGAAGGATTTTCTAACATATAATAAAATTATTAAACAGAGACTCACCAGTAAAAGTCTAATCTAATACAAAAATAAGTATGTACAATGTTTTATATGTACAATATTTTGTCGTACTCCTAAACAAAAATAGAGGAGTTTTTATATAAAAAATATAAGCTGGAGCGAAAAACTCAAGGTTAAGGATTGCGTAATAGCGAGAAAATAGTTTTCGTTTTTTCTTATGCTGAGGAAAAAAGAATAAGACAGAATGAAAAACATTCGTCATCAAGATGCGTAATTTCAAAAGAACAAGTTATTGCGTCATTTTGGCGATAGAATAAATAGTAGCAAATGAGAAGTTCTAATAAACTTTCAATTCCTACAGCAAAGAGTCCTAAAAGGTGAAATACAATTACTTTTCTGACAAAATACGCTTTCTTAGGTAGAGATTAAATCAGCTATTCTTAAAATTCAAGAATTTTCTAGAATCCACAGTTTACCGAATCACATGAGAAGATTCTTGTATACGATACCCTATACAATCTAAACAAAACATGAGATTGAATTTAATGTCTTTCAATTAAGAGAGTTAGCACCATCGATAGATACTATTCGTTCCTTTAGAAGTCAACAATTTTATCTTCTGAGATCTTTGAACACAGATCTGAAAATAGACCGTTTTGCAAAAAACTATTTTTTAACCAATACAGTAAAAATCTACTTTTTCTCCGATTCATAAATTTTAGTAAATGGACGAAAAGTAAAGTAAACATGTTGTATATTCCAACAGCAATTTGTACAAAACATAAAACAACAAACTTCATACAATAAAACTAAACAAACAACAAACGTACTCTAGAGTACACACAAAGGAAAAAGCAAAAAGCAAAAAAACATTACAAAGTTGACTCTTCTACGATAGTTTCTCTATCGTCGGCGATACGTTGAACGTCCGGTACCCGATATTGTTTTTATTGTTGTTGATGATGTACGATTATTATTGCCACGTTTTTTTAACGGTCCTTTAACGAATGCCCAATCAACGTGTAGTTTATGTCCGAGCAAATCCCGTCCATCTAATTCTTGTAAGGCACTTTTTGCTTCATTAAATGTTTCATATTCAACTAAAGCATAGCCTTTAGCATAACCCGTCCGACGATCCAGATTTAAATGCATATTTTTAACTGAACCATATTCACGAAATAGATCATACATTGTATCTTCTTGAGATTCTTCATGAACATTTGTTATGAATAATATCCAACCTTCAACGCTTCGTGCTGGACCGGGGTCTCCATTTTGCTGTGAATCAACCGTATCATATTCACCCTCTTGCATTGATATACGTTCACTAGCTTCATTAAAACCACGTCCTTTTCGAACACGAACACCCGATTTAATACGCTCAACAGTTTCTGCTTCATCTGGCTCTTCATCCATCACAACGCCACTAACATCATCGATGTCATTTACTTCAACTTCAACATCACCACCTGACATGATTTTCTTGATGTTTTGTTTAAAAACAGAATCTAAAAATAGAAATAGCCGAGCGGGATTCAGTCGTTATATTAAAACAACATTTTTGAGATGAGATGATTTTATTTAATATAATCGACGCAG